CGGGGAGATGGCGCTCAGCCCCCCCGAGCGGCGCGGTGGCGGGCGGGCGGGCGAGCCGGCGGGGCTACCGCTTCACTCGCCATGGACCTTCTGGCTGGACAAGTGAGTGGGGGCCGGGGGGGGGAGAAAAAGGGAAAAAGCGGGGCGGAGGAATAAAAAAATCCGTCTGTGGGAAGCTGGAAAGCATCCCTGCTCTTTATCTCTTTTGGCTCGTGGAACAGGTTGGAAAAGGGGAAATTTGCCTGGAAAAAGGGGCGATGTGAGGGAGGGGGGGGCGCGGAACTGACCGGGTGTCCCCCCCTCGTCGCTTCGGGGGCCGGTGGCGTTCGTTGGGGGTTCGTTCGTCAAAGGGGTTTGGGAAACGCTTTCGGTTTTGCAAGTTCGGGCATCGCCGATGGCGTCTTAAATTCTAAATTTAGTCCTAGCGCTGGGCACCCCCGGGAGGGGGAGGCGAAAGTTTGGGCTTCGTTACCGCGGGGGGGTCCCCAAACCGACCCGCTCCCACCCTGACCCCTTTAATAGCCAGGTTTGTCTCCGCTGGGTAATTAGTTCTTCAAATGAGAAGTGATTTATTTTGCAAGGCTGAGCTCAGGTGTATTAAATCACTGCAATGTGCCTCTCGTCGCCTCGCGGTCCGTGGGCTGGAAGTTTTTGGTCTGTCGTGGTCGTGGAGAGGTGCTGGGAAGGGGGGGTCACCCGGGGGGGCAGGCACCTGGGGACAGGGGAAGCACCGGACTCAAAACTGAAACAGAAAGTTTGAAATCAGAGTTTGATACCGGATTTCTAGTGTGTCTTCTCTGGCATCTTGTTTTTAATCTTCTGCATCTCCCTTTTCTCCATTTTCTGTTGCGTTTCTCCTCTCCCCCGACTCCAGAAGGGAAGTTATTTCCTTTATAAGCTTTTCTGCGGCTGAACATGCTGCCTTTTTCAACTCGTGACAGAGAAATAGCAAAAAGCTGTTGGAAGCACACAAATATTTCCAGGTCTTGCAAATCAAACATAAATAAATAAATCCACAAACTATTTCTGGTTAATCCTTTTGAACTCAGGATGTAGTTATGGTCGGGTGCAGGATCTGAGTTGTGTTTTCTGTTTGTTTATAAAAAGCAGCATTTGGACTGCTCTCCGAGCAAGCTACTGTCCAGATCTGTTTGTTTACACAGGCCATGTGGAGATAAAGCGTGTCTGTCTTTTATAATCAACATCGGAAGTTAAAATCCATTTCAAGTTCCTGTGTTGCATCACAGTTACTTGTTTTTTCTGTTCCACTGTAATTTAGACTCTTAAAATTTGGTTAGTCTATTTCTTTTCTTCTTTCTAATCACATATAAGTGTGTTTCATTAGACAGTGGTGTTGTTCCTTAACTTACAAAACCAAGAGCGTATGTATAAGAGGAAAAAAAAAAAAAGTGGGACCTTATATATACAAAACTGTTTTGTTTTCCAGCAACAGTGATAGAATAATGGCAGGGAAGAGGAATGACAGGAGCCAAGACATGCTTCATGCATTTAAAAACTGTTTAGGGCATTAAAGAACACACAAGAGATGCACCCATGAACTTCATTTGCTGCAGGGTGTGGAGGTTCCTGTCACTCTACAGGGTCCCACAGACGTGGCTGTGACATTTAGTGGTGCACCCACGCAGATTTAATGGGGGGATCATTTCTTAGGCTCGTACAGGGTGGACTTTCCATAGAAGATAACCGTGGGTGCTTTTTTTAATTGACTTTAGCAACGCCAGGTGTGGAACCGTGATGTTTCCTCATGAGATGGTATTGATTTTTGACTGCCACTGAATTTTACCCTGTACTTGGACTGAAAAGCAAGAAGTGATGCTTAAGGATAAGCAGATGTTGAGAGGGATATGTAGTTATCTTTTTCTGTTAAATTATTGTGAGAGGGGTCCATGACATACATTTTAACATCTCCAAAACGTATCTCTTCATTGTCACACTGTTAAAATAAATATCCATCAGCGAAGCTGTACTTTCTATAGCAACTGGTGATAAGCTATCAAGTCGTTCCCTGAGGGTTCATGACCTTGCTTTTGTCATAAGCACTCGCTATGTCTCCTGCTTTAGCAGTAAATGCCTTTGTTTTATCTACATCAGCACTTGTTTCTGTGAATGCCTTGGCACAGGCTGAGCATCTGGAGGCTGGGATCCTGTGACCAGGTTCTGGTCCATTGCCATGATCTCTCACGTGTCACAGGGGCATCTGCATTTCCCGTAAGCGCTGAGCCTTTCTTGGTATGTGTGTCTAAAATAGTCACCATCTGATATCACCCTCTTGTATCTCACCCCGTGTATGCTTTAGGAAAGTGAGCATGATGAAAGCATTCGGGAGAGTATTATTCACCAGTCTGACAAATAAGATCCCATCTACAATCTTTAAATGCTCGCAGGTCAGCAGTTTTGGAGGAGCTGTCAGGTGTTTTTCCCTTAAGAGAAACGAGATTTCCTTTTTAACTGTTAAAATCTTTTAAGGTTGTGCACTGAAAGTTTTGAAACCAGGGCTTTAGACCTGCTGTTTGTTATGATTTGAAGAACCCACAGTAACTTATTGTCATTTAGACAATTATTCTATCACCCAATGACCCCTCCCTATCCAGGAAGGGGAATTGGGGAAAAACAAGAAAACATAAGGGTTGAATACAAACATATTTAATAGAATAAGACTAAATAATTCACAATAACACTAAAGAACCATACTGATCCTAATACCAATATAAAATAGACAAGGACTATACCCAGCCCATTCCATCAGCAGGAAGCTGTACTGATCCTAATACCAATATAAAACAGACAAGGACTATTCCATCAGCAGGAAGCTGTGCATTCCCAGCAGGGACAGCAAATGTGGGACCCTGTGGGTGCTGCAGCTTCAGGAGGAAGGGAAGGGCTCTGGGCTCCGGCACCAGAGCAAGAAGTTCTCAGGAGAGCAGCCATCACAGAGGAGAGAAAACTCCTCAGCAAACTTTCTAATTTATGTTGAATGTGACGTTCATGGTATGAAATAATCCAGTTGGCAGCTTGGGTCAAGTGCCTGGGTCTCGCTTCTCCTCATCCTTGCACCTGGAGAGCTCGAAAACACCGAGACCTTGAATCCCATGTAGCACAGCTGGCTGTAAAGTAAATATTTTCACAAATTCGGACACTAGAGTCTTCTAAAAGTGCATTTTTTCCCAAGCATTAGAAGAGACCTTACCAACAAGTAAAATTACTAAAAGATAAATTGATCTTGTGTCGCTCAAACCAGGACATTGTTTTATCTGTCCATTCTGCAGGTTTCCAAGCTCATACCTACATGTCTCATTCATAGGACTTTTCCAGTGTCGTTATGGCCCGTGGGGAATTTCAGTGAGTTTTTTGGTGAAATTTGCCTTTGGTGCCACCTCGGGAAGCTGATCCATGCTGGTGGCTCGGCACATTCGTGCTTATCTCAGTAAGACTCTGGATTGGTGCCGGGTCCTGCCTATAATGGTCTCTGGCTTTGAAATGAAAGGGTGCCTTTCTGGTTTTTGCTACACTGTAGTCTTTCTTTTTTTTTTTTTTTGTTTTTTTTAACAACAAAGTGTCAATATGCATCACTGAAAATAGCAAACTAAAAACAAAGATTGCCTATCTGGTCACTGTATTCATGATGTGTGGTGCATTCAAGATGGGGACTGTACAAAAGGAGAAGTCAAGTGAAATGACCCTCAAAGGCTGAGATGTCCTGGGTGGGCACCTGGAGCCCTATTTTTTTTTTTGTTTTTGTTTTTTTTTAACAACAAAGTGTCAATATACATCACTGAAAATAGCAAACTAAAAACAAAGATTGCCTATCTGGTCACTGTATTCATGATGTGTGGTGCATTCAAGATGGGGACTGTACAAAAGGAGAAGTCAAGTGAAATGACCCTCAAAGGCTGAGATGTCCTGGGTGGGCACCTGGAGCCATCCCTACATGGGATTTGGGGTTGTGGATCTGGGTGCGATCTTTGTGTAAATACAAAGCCGGGAAGCTGCTTGTGCTTTTTTTTTGGATGTACATGTGGACATGGTACAAATATCCCACTGTGCAAACCATGCAAATCATGGCTGTCGTTTCGCCTGGGTGCTGTGTGCCTGATGTTTAATGCTACCCCAAGCAAGCCTTTCCCTACCAAAAGAGCAGAGAGAACATACAAGTAGTGGTCTGATTTTTCAGCCTCGCGATGAGAAGCCTGAGGTTCTGCCAGTGGTAACAATTTCAGTCTGATGTGTGCGTGCACATGCAATAATGAAGGCTGTTGCACAGAAATACCTCTTTTGAGGACCTAACGGCCTCTGAGCCGCCGCTGTTGCTGACAGACCGCTTTCAGTCAGCAGTGAGGAAAATCCCAGTGCCCTTCTATACAAATCAGTGCCATCAGAAACCGAGCACAGATCACACAAAAGCCTGGCACAGAAGTCTCATTTCTAGATAAACTTCGTCAAAGATGCGCTCGCTTCCATGGAGGTCTGAGCGGGCAGCACCGCAGGATCGCAATCTGCCTGCCTGGTCTTCTTGCTTGACTTCTAACAGTGCTTTGTAAGTAATTCAGCTTCTATTGCGAGAATGTTTTAACTCCCCTGTATCTTTTTGAGAGGAAGAAGGTGCTTATAAACATTGTCAAATATAATACAATGTTACTAGTCTGTTCCGGGGAAGTGAAAATATTCTTGCAGGAACTTATTATCCTTATGTGCTGATTTTCCTTTCTCTGTTTTACAATGTCATAGAATGGTCAGAGTTAGAAGGGACCTTTCTTTCTCCGTTTTACAATATCATAGAATGGTCAGAGTTGGAAGGGACCTTAAAGACCATCCAGTTCCAACCCCCCTGCCCTGGGCAGGGACACCTCCCACCAGACCAGGTTGCTTAAAGCCCCATCCAGCCTGGCCTTGAACCCCTCCAGGGATGGGGCAGCCACAGCTTCTCTGGGCAACCTGTTCCAGTGTCTCACCACCCTCACAGCAAAGAATTTCTTTCTAGTATCTAATCTAAATCTTCCTTTTTATTTAAAACCATTACCCCTTGTCCTATCGCTACACTCCCTGATAAAGACACTCCCTGTGTTTGGTTGATAGGGAACAATTTTCATAATAATTGTGAGTCTTCATAAATGAGCACATCAGATACCTGAAACTAAGCTTCTTCCCTTCTTCCCTATAGCAAAATCTTATTTATCTAGAATCATCTATTTCGTCTATTAAAGCTCGTGAGTAGGTGGCTTACAATGAAAAATGATGGTTAATATTTTAAGAACGTTCAACCCGGTAAATGCATTTTGACAGGCTTTGATGGCTTCAAATCAGTCTTTGTATTCAGAATGGATTACCAGATTTATTTAGTTGCCACAGCATGTTTTTCAGTTTATGCTTTGTAAGTAAATATTTTGCTTATTTATACCAGAAGCAGTTGTGGCTAAGTACTTACAGGGGTGTCTTCAAAAGTGCTCGGCAGCTTTTAAAGCTCCCGCTAAAGCTGTGATTAGATTCCCACTGGGAGACAAAGGCCAGTGTGAGCACATATGAAAAAACTTCTCTCCTTAATTCTTTGCAGGGAAACAGAAGAGCTACAGTTCAGCATCAGGCATTAACATAAGCACAACCACCTGGAGGTTTAGTCATGGATAAAACAATGGGATTTATTTTCGTATCCTTTATTCTTTATTTGTGCTGGAATAAAGAAGGAGCAGTGAAGCAAGCTGGCCTTAGGATTCAGTTCACGTAGGTTATTCCTGCTTCTGTGTCCCACATTTAACCGATGCCCATGTGGTTTGCCATGAGATGCTGTGTGGTGGGGCTGGCCCGATTAGGTGACTCAATTATTCCTGCTATCGTGCTAAAATTTCTCCCTTAAAGATTCTGAAGATGCAGAAAAGTGGCATCCCGGGGCACAAAACAGGCAGAGCAAGAGAACTGTTGGATATTTTATGTGCAGACTCTCCACGGGGAGCCCAGATGTGGGTCTGCAGGTGGTGTGGTGCCAGCCCAACTCTCTCCATCCCCACAAGAGCTGTCGGTGCCTGGCTGGTGGTGGGACCCAGCTGGGAGCACCTATCCCCTCCTGTAGGGACTTGCAGAGCCTGTTGAGTGACTTGGAAATTAATTGCTCACCATGGCAATAATTGACAGCCCAGCATGGCACATTGGACTAATTTGATTATTGATGGCAGTAAAATTATCCAAAAGGGAGGAATCCTCTAATAGCTTCATTTCAAGGGCCAGTATTTGCAGGATTCCTTGTTTGTGGTAGTGTGTGTATCGAGGTTTGTAGCAAAGTACCCAAAGATCTTACAACTCGCTTATAGTGAAAACACCGAGACCTTGAACCCCACGGAGCATAGCTGGCTATAAAGTAAATATTTTCATAAATTCAGACACTTCTAAAAGCACAGCTTTCCCAAACATTAGAAGAGAAATTAGCCCTGTGTCACTTTCTAAAAGCCCAGCTTTCCCAAGCGTTAGAAGAGAAATTAGCCCTGTGTCACTCAAAGCGGGACGAGTGCCTAAAGAGCCCCGCATGGGAGTTGGGAACAGTCAGGATGGAGCTGGAGAATCATAGAATGGTTTGGGTTGGAAGGGACCTCAAAGATGGGTAGTTCCAAACCCCTTCCATGGGCAGGGACACCTCCCACTAGAGCAGGTTGCTCAAGGCCACATCCAGCCTGGCCTTGAACACCTCCAGGGATGGGGCATCCACAACTTCCCTGGGCAACCTGTTGCAGTGTCTCACCACCCTCATAGTAAAAAATTTCTTCCTGAGATCTCATCTGAATCTTTTTTCTTCCAATTTAAAACTGCCTGGTGAACATCTGTGTAACCCCGAGGTCTGGCCATGAAACCAACCCAAGGACCTCCTGGCTTTATGGGAGGTGCTGGTAGTAGATATGGCTTGAAGAAACAAGTGCCGGTGGTGGAGGAGCCGGCTGAACTCTTGGAGGTTTGGTTGGGTGCTGTGGCTCGCTGCCCGCCGGCCGCTGTGTGCCCCTGCCACCTAGTGGTGTGTCCTCTGCAAATAGTCCTTCATTTATTCTATAAACTACCTGGATGATTTCTTTTAAAAAGCGGGACGGGTGCCTAAAGAGCCCCGGATGGGAGTTGGGAACAGTCAGGATGGAGCTGGAGAATCATAGAATGGTTTGGGTTGGAAGGGACCTCAAAGATGGGTAGTTCCAAACCCCTTCCATGGGCAGGGACACCTCCCACTAGAGCAGGTTGCTCAAGGCCACATCCAGCCTGGCCTTGAACACCTCCAGGGATGGGGCATCCACAACTTCCCTGGGCAACCTGTTGCAGTGTCTCACCACCCTCATAGTAAAAAATTTCTTCCTGAGATCTCATCTGAATCTTTTTTCTTCCAATTTAAAACTGCCTGGTGAACATCTGTGTAACCCCGAGGTCTGGCCATGAAACCAACCCAAGGACCTCCTGGCTTTATGGGAGGTGCTGGTAGTAGATATGGCTTGAAGAAACAAGTGCCGGTGGTGGAGGAGCCGGCTGAACTCTTGGAGGTTTGGTTGGGTGCTGTGGCTCGCTGCCCGCCGGCCGCTGTGTGCCCCTGCCACCTAGTGGTGTGTCCTCTGCAAATAGTCCTTCATTTATTCTATAAACTACCTGGATGATTTCTTTTAAAAAGTATGTAACGCTGAGAGTACGTTAAAACACTCAAAGCGGGTTTGAGGTTGTATTAAATACAATTAACGGGTGGTCCCTCACTGATAGCCCTTCGTGTTGGAATTGCAGAGCTTTTTTATGATGCCAAACACAAGAAGGACGTGGGGTGGCCAACAGAAGGAACGCTGTTACTGGTTTAAAACTCCTAATTCAGTTAAAAGTATTGTACAAAATACCTGGTGAATCTTAATTTGTTCAAAAATATAAAATCGCTTGAATCTTTAAATGATTCCTGGTAGTTGGAGTTTATTACACAACTTCACACTCCTGCGATTCTCTTTTCCCACCCATGTCCCTTCTGCCCCCTTGATAAAATAAATATTTTTTTAATTAATCTCCGCTTCGTTTTCAAGGTCACTTCCTGGGACGACAGCAGCTGAATGTGCATCGAATTTGAAGAAGATTTACACGGTACAAACAGTACAGGTGAGGTGTACAGCTTGGCTGTGGGAGTTGCCACACGTTATTAATGAAACTTCACGCCTAAAGTTTCATTTTTCCTCATATGGATGAGTCACACCTGTGGCTTTGCTTACCTGTGGCATGAAACCCGAGTGTTACTGTTTGTGTGTGGTGTTACTTAGTCATTGTTTGAATTTCTTTTGGCTTTCCAGACCAGGAGAGGAGGAAGCATATTGGATTGATCGGGCAAGCCTACTCTTCTTAAACTTTCCTCAATTTAAATATTTCCTCAATTTAAATATTTTTCCTGCCTTTTCTCAGTTGTTTGGTTTTTTTAATTATGGAAAATTGTTACACAAAGACTAAAAATTACAGCTTGTGGGTTTTTTTTTTCTTCTTTCTCCTCTTGAGCATGATTTTTAAACAATATTTTCCAGCAAATTGATTTGAATTAAAGTACTTTTAAATCATGCAGCGTTTGCAACAATGAGAAATCCTGCATGTCTGTGCCACCTGCCAGTGCTGGGTAGTAGCCACCTCTTAGAAGTAAAATTACATTTCTGTTTTAACACCAGTTAGCATGAAGTGTAGCAAATTGGTATGTCTCACCTTAATTCTAAGCCGACTCTAGTGCCTTTTATCCACCCCAACCATGTAGGACAGCTGCTGCTTTCACAGGCAGCAATGCTGGAAGTAATCTGATGGTTCCTGGTAACTTGGGTCTTCTAATTTCTCCCCCATTCCTGTATTAATATGCGCATCCCAAATTCTTTGCACCTGGTTGGTACTTTTCACTGTGATCTAGACAAAGCAGCTGGATTGCTAGTTAGGGGTTTAGTTCAACAAAATTACTGTTTGTGGTGTTTTTGTAACTCAAGATAATCATAATGAAATTTTAGACTAGGCTGAAGTGAAGCAAGGTGGATAGCTGATATAAGTATACATTTTCAATATGCTAAGAAAGTTTTATGTACTGGTTTGTTCCGAAATACTTAGCATAACTCTGGTTTTGATGATTTTTTTTCTCTCTATTCCTGTGGACTGGACTTTGATTCTGAAGTAACTCACAATTGAACTGCTTCCCTTATTTCTACCTCCAGCTTATACAAAAATGACATCCAAAAAAAAAAATTAAGAAGTGAAATTGCAACACTTCTAAAGTAACAGACAGTTGAACTCCTTCCCTTCTTTCTACCTCCAGCTTATGCAAAAATGACATCCAAAAAAAAAATTAAGAAGTGAAATTGCAACAAGTTCTTTTCAGAGTATTTTATTATAACGTAGAAGGTGCTAGTTCTCTAGGAGCAGGATACGTAATCGTTTTGGAGAAAACAAACAAAGAAGTGATTCTGTGTTAAACTGAGTCTCTTCTGTTGATGCAACGAGTATTTCTTTCTTTTTAAGGATTTCTGGAGTGTCTACAACAACATTCCTCCTGTGACAAACTTGCCTCTGAGATGTAGTTACCATTTAATGCGGGGAGAAAGGCGGCCGCTTTGGTACGTACGTTGCCATCAGGCATCTCTGGGAACGGGCAGTGACAAAACCCAAAGTGGTGACAGGAGACAGGCGTGGGACAGGGGTCAAGTTCTTTTCAAAGTATTTTATTATGATGTAGAAGGTGCTAGTTCTCTAGGAGCAGGATATGTAATCGTTTTGGAGAAAACAAACAAAGAAGTGATTCTGTGTTAAACTGAGTCTCTTCTGTTGATGCAACGAGTATTTCTTTCTTTTTAAGGATTTCTGGAGTGTCTACAACAACATTCCTCCTGTGACAAACTTGCCTCTGAGATGTAGTTACCATTTAATGCGGGGAGAAAGGCGGCCGCTTTGGTACGTACGTTGCCATCAGGCATCTCTGGGAACGGGCAGTGACAAAACCCAAAGTGGTGACAGGAGACAGGCGTGGGACAGGGGTGTCTTGTTTCTGTTGCCTGCAAACGCCTGAACTCAAGAGAGCCACAAAAGAAATATCCTAAGGATCGTGTTAAGCTTAAAAGTGGCTTGTACTAAAGAGTCTTTATTAAAAGCACAGACTGTAATTTAATCGTCCACCTCTGAACGTAAATGTAAGAAAGACATTCAATTATGAAATAGAAGTGAAGAAATTAAAATATTATTCTGAATTTCAGTTCAAGAACACACAGAATATATCTATTTGTATTTGAATTTTTTTTATCTTGCAAATTGTTTTATTTTCACTGAAGCTACTGTAATAGTGATGCAAACAACTGATGGTCCTTAACTCTTCTTCACCTGCGCAAAAGTGTGCTTGATACACATATATATCTTGGATTAAAACTAAGGCATCATGAAGTGATGCATTGCAGCAAATTCCTACTTGATTGTAGGACAGGAATGGAATTTAGTATAAAGAATTGAGGTTTCCTTTACAGAAACTGATTTTTGCATACTTTGTTCCCGGTGCAGCTCTGTCACAAAGTGCTTGAGCACTTTCTGAGGAGTTTTGAGGTTTGTACAGGTTGTAATTGGATTAGAGTTCTTTAACTTGATTGTAGTACGTCTGACTGGGTGGGGACTTGCTACAGGAGATCTCAGTCCTAATCTACTGAACAAGTAAATATTTTTCTCAAGTGAGACGTGTCTGAAGGGCTACATTACTTTTCTAAAAATACTGTGACTGGTCAGGTTGGCTAAACTGGGTTTGAAAAAATGTTGGTGTCCGTATAAATCAACGGGACCATTGTGTGCAGGTCTTCATATCTTTGTAAGGATGACTGAGAACGTTTTGGGTTTGTTTTTGTTTGTTTTTTCTATTTTTAGTTTTGATTTGGTAACTGACTATTAAAAATGATACCTCTATTTTCCGACTGTCAAAGCAATTTTGTATTTTAGGAGAGGGATTGCAAGAGATTGATCTCATCAGTAACCTGCTAACTTTTCAGTAATTAGTGCCAGATGCTTCTCTCGGATTACAGTTACTGGCTAATTGCAGCATTGTTTTTTAGGTAGAAAAACAAATTCTCAAGTAAGAATTAAGGACTGTAGATTTTTGAAGATGTTCTCCCCAAGTTTCCTCAGTGCTTGTCTGCATTGGTGGGAGACCATTGATCCTGGGGAATCTCTGTAGATCTCATACTGGGTTTACATATTCCAAAGATTAGGTTATTCCTTAAACTTTGGTATTAACAGAGTTTTAACAGGAAGCTAGAGCCCTAATTTAAAATCTTATAAAAAGAATTGTGACAGAATAAACTTGAAGCTCACAAGTTTGTGCATTGCGTCTTTGTCATTCTGAGGCAGTTTAATGGTTATGTCTGTGCCCTGACCCTGGGCAGCTTCAGCCTTTCTTTTAATAAGGGCAATTAATTTCTAGCTGTCACAAAACTGAAATTAAGTGCTCTCATGTTCTTTTATTAAACAGGACAAACTGGAGAGTAATAAGCTGGTTCTGTGAAAATATGCCAGAGTTTTTCCAAAATAAATGGTTGCCATAGTAAAACATAAAATTGCTTTGTGGCTTGTTCCCATATAATGTGCAGCTACTTCTAAGATAGTCTGTAGTCAGGAAAAATGTACTTTCCAACACACAAAACTTAGGAAAGGGATTAGGTGTTGAGAGAGCTGCTTCATCTGAACAATGAAAGAATTATCTCTGATGTCAGAAGTTATAGCTTGAGTCATGCTACCTGCAGTTAGTAATTGCATTTCAAATGGATTTTTCTGGGAAAATTAAACCCCAAACGTAAGTTTATCTAGATGTGGATGTGAGTGCTTATCTTACTGATCTGTTTTCCATAACCAGGGAAGAGGAAAGCAATGCCAAAGGAGGTATATGGAAAATGAAGGTCCCTAAAGAGAGTACGGTATGTAATATTGACTTTTTACTGAGACATTGTTTAGTTAGGGGGGTTCTTTAAACTCCATCTGATAAAGCTGTTACAAAGCTTTTTAGTTCTGACATCACCCAACATAACAACCAAACACTATTTTAACAGCTATAACCTTTTATTTTAAGACAATGAGGACAAGTTTCTTTTCAGGTAATTCCACATCTCTTGTTTTTGATCACACTTGTGGCTGTATTATCAAGCAAATGAAAGCTGCAGTGTTACACCCCCGTTCCATTTAGAAACACAGTATTTTATAATCACCTTTGTTCTCAAGACTGTTTGCTTACAGGCATGAAAAAAACAAATATAAAAATCTTTTCCTGATAATATTATAGGCTAAGTTATAGCCAGAACCACAGCAATGCTCTTCAGAAGTTGGCACACACGATCAGGCACAACTTCCAGAGTTTCACTGAAGTGCCAAATGCTCCTAAAGTCTCTGTCAGACTTGGCAGGACTATTTCTGCTCGGCACCTGTGTGTGGCTGTGAGCAGCACTGTGACTTTCTGTCCCCAGGCAGGGACCAAGGCGTTGTTTCCACCGATAGCTGATGCCATGGCTTGCCCTGGAAAGGGGAAGATCTTGTTCATTCTCTCCTGTTCCCTCTTGCGCTGGTGCTCGCTGTTTTGTGAGCCAGCTTAATGCACTCTGATGTCAGGAAAAAGTTCTCCTATTTACTTTATTTTTGATTTGAGTGTACAGCCAGGAGAGTTTTTTGATGGGCGTAAGGTATAAAGGAGAAAAGGCAAGTGGGATCCATCCCCTTTGGCAACAGTGAGTTGTCACATCACCTTGTGTGCATCTTGTGAAACTAAAGTGCCGCTCAGGGGTTTTTTGCCTTTTTTTCTTTTTTTTTTTTAAATTTTATTTTAAAACGTGAAAGATAAAATCCATTCAGGCGTGTCATAGTTCTAGCCCTGCTGAAACTACTGGGTTTTGCCTCTAATCAAAAGCACGTGAGCCGCATGCATCTCCTGTGAACTGTCACGGTGAGGAGATCTGACTTCTTCACATGTGGTGTTTATGTGTGTGTGTTTGTTCTGGGTCAGGCCTCTAAACACAAAGAGTGAAGTGTCAGAAAAATGTGACAGCCTTGCAGAAGACGTTGAATGCTGAAAGATGCTACTTGAAATTTCAGCCAAAAGTTAATTGATTTTTGCCTGTGGGCTTTTTCCCCGCATGCGAGTTGCAGCTTTCTTCCCTGCAGTCCCAAGGGATCACAAAAGACTGAAATTTTCTCTTTCCCCTTATAATCCAAGGTGTGAAGATTTTCAGAAGTGACAAGTGGTTTGGGGAGCCTGCATTACTGGGCGGTGAATTTAGGGACCTCAGAAGCCCTGTTTTTCAGAGGCTGAATGAGAGCCCCTCTTTGAAATGAAGGTACTTTTTGATCTCTCAAACTTTGTGCCAGACATCCCAGGTCACTTCTGAAAGGTTTAGTTGAAGGCAAACTTCAGTCAGCTTTTAGTGCCTCTGTAAATAACATAAATAATAACCTTTATGCCTCTTTCTCATTTTTTGGCTTCATTCCTCATCATATGTGCACACAGCAACTCCTTTGCTAAGACGAACCATCTTGTGCAGACCTAACTCAAAAAGACAATATGCTGTAGCAGGTCTTGGTGAGGGTGTGGAGGGAAGAAAAGGCAGCTTTTTCTAAAGATAAAGTCTTTCAAGCGGTATGAAAAACTGACTGACAAAATACTGACACTTAAATGTTGTTGCATGTGTAGAGTGACCCTTTCTGAATGCTGATTTTTAATACAAAAACTAATACTTTTTAGATCCTCATAAGCCTGATCCTGCAACTGCTTACTGCTGGATGAAGTGCTTCCTACCCTTGAGACCATTAGGACAACCCACAGTAGTGAGCACTGCGCCTGGTAATGAGAGTGGTCAGTCCCATCCTCAGTCTTTGAGCTGCTCCACGGGCAGGCAAAAGGCCACCATGACAGGGGCTGTCGTGCTGAAGTCTTCACCCTGCTGCTCCACGGGCAGGCAAAAGGCCACCACGGCAGGGGCTGTCGTGCTGAAGTCTTCACCCTGCCTCAGGAGCATCAGATGGTCCTTCCCATAGGGAAGGTCCATTCCTTATGTGGTGCATTTGATTAGATGATGATGAGTCGCAGAAACCCTTTGTATCCTAGAAGCTGGCTTAGGAGTGCTCAAACTGCCATTCAAGCAGTTCATTAGTTTGTCTTCTTCATGGCTGCTTCCCTTTTGTTATAACCTGGTGTATTTGATATGTTGGGGTTTTTTTAATAGTACTAAAACTCACGTTAACTTCATATAGCAGAAAATATATTCCTTAAAAGTGTCATAGACTCGTAGAATAGTTTGGGCTGAAAGGGACCTTTAAAGCCCATCCAGTCCAACCTCCCTGCCATGAGCAGGGACATCTTCAACTAGATCAGGTTGCTCAGAGCCCCATCCAGCATGACCTTAAATGTTTCCAGGGATGAGGCATCCACCACCTCTCTGGCAACCTGGGCCAGTGTCTCACCACCCTCATTGTAAAAAATTTCTTCTTTATATGTAGTCTAAATCTCCCCTCTTTCAGTTGAAAACCGTTACCCCTCATCCTATCGCTACACTCCCTGATAAACATGATGTTTAAATATAAACCAATTTAATTTACGGGTAGGGTTTTCAGGCACTTTAAGAAAAGTGCTTAGTAATTCTTTTCTGTAGAAAAAAATTATCTCAACTGGAGCCTTATGGTCTTTTATCATGGGAAATACTTGGGAGAAATCTACTTTCCTGCTTTACTCTAGTGCATTTGAGATGAGTCATGGACACAGATATAGAGAAGGTAAACTTATTGTTAAATATTTAACATATTTATTAGAATAATTCTGTGTAGTGCTATGTATTTGCAAGGTCTAAATTGTTGCTTCAACTCTATGGAAGAAATTAATTGTATAACACAGAGTGTACTTACATTAAATGTTCTTTTTTTGTCTAGACAACCTCAGAAAGAGAATGCACTTGAAACTGAGCTAGGAAACCTAATGTTGAAATTAAAAAATAATAATGCAAATGTAACTTATTTTTTTCCCCCCTTCCTTAGGCTGCAGTTTGGAAAGAGCTGCTGTTAGCAACTATTGGAGAGCAGTTTACGGACTGTTGTGCAGCAGGTAACTTTTCCAAATGATTGAGGCTAGCCAGGTTTGAATGTGGAATGTGGAAGTGCTGCTAAAAATGGGGTGCAGGGCTGAAATCACAATCATACCCCATTGTCATTAAGAGGTGGAGAAGGTATTCTGACTGTCTTAGCACAAGAGTCAAGCTCAGCAGCTTGCACTCTTGGAAAGCCAGGTTTTCTAGTTATTATATAATTATATAATACATATTATTTATACTTATTTTAGGGCAACAAATCTGGTGAGGGGTTTGGAGAATAATTCTTATGAAGAGCGGGTGAGGGAGCTGGGGTTGTTCAGCCTGGAGAAAAGGATGCCGAGGGGAGACCACCTCACTCTCTAAAACTCCCCATCCTGAGATTTTCACACCAAAAAGGGCTTCTTCAGCAAAGCATGGAGTTACCAGCACTGGCAGCAGCAGTCTGGCTGGGGCTTTATTCTACTTTTTTTTCTTTTCTTTTTTTCTTTTTTCCTGTTGTTTGACAAAATGAAAAAGAGAGTAAAGTCTGGAAAAGTTGGTGCCTGATGTCCTCCTGGTACTATTCCTGGGGTTTTCGTTGTTTCACCCTCACCCACCCATTTTTGCTTATAGGTGTTACTGTAAGTAAATTCCCTTCAGTGGTTTATATTACTAACCTCTAATAATGCAAATGTAACTTATTTTTTCCCCCCTTCCTTAGGCTGCAGTTTGGAAAGAGCTGCTGTTAGCAACTATTGGAGAGCAGTTTACGGACTGTTGTGCAGCAGGTAACTTTTCCAAATGATTGAGGCTAGCCAGGTTTGAATGTGGAAGTGCTGCTAAAAATGGGGTGCAGGGCTGAAATCACAATCATACCCCATTGTCATTAAGAGGTGGAGAAGGTATTCTGACTGTCTTAGCACAAGAGTCAAGCTCAGCAGCTTGCACTCTTGGAAAGCCAGGTTTTCTAGTTATTATATAATTATATAATACATATTATTTATACTTATTTTAGGGCAACAAATCTGGTGAGGGGTTTGGAGAATAATTCTTATGAAGAGTGGGTGAGGGAGCTGGGGTTGTTCAGCCTGGAGAAAAGGATGCCGAGGGGAGACCACCTCACTCTCTAAAACTCCCCATCCTGAGATTTTCACACCAAAAAGGGCTTCTTCAGCAAAGCATGGAGTTACCAGCACTGGCAGCAGCAGTCTGGCTGGGGCTTTATTCTACTTTTTTTTCTTTTCTTTTTTTCTTTTTTCCTGTTGTTTGACAAAATGAAAAAGAGAGTAAAGTCTGGAAATGTTGGTGCCTGATGTCCTCCCGGTACTATTCCTGGGGTTTTCGTTGTTTCACCCTCACCCACCCATTTTTGCTTATAGGTGTTACTGTAAGTAAATTCCCTTCAGTGGTTTATATTACTAACCTTACTGGAGGGAGTCTTGTGATTCCCTTTTAATCAAGGATTATATTACTAACCTCCAGGGAGTCTTGTGATTCCCTTTTAATCAAGGATCAGAGTGCTAATAGCAAAGATGAATAATCTTGTGGCTCTTTATTAAAACCACTATGAGGTAATATTTCCAATAGCTTCTATAAATACAGTGTTTGTTTCTTGCTGGTAACTATTTTGTCTGGTTTGAACATTGGTATCCTCCTCACTGGGGATCGCTCTTTTTTTGTTCCTTCAGTTTGTTCAGCTTTTGGGCACTGTTTCGTAATACATAAGTATCAAATTAGACATGTCTCACTTTTAAAGTATTCCTTAATGATCCTTCCTCTTCTGTGCAGATGATGAAGTAATAGGGGTTAGCGTCAGCGTTCGTGACCGTGAAGATGTTGTGCAAGTCTGGAACGTGAATGCTTCTCTAGCAAGCGAAGCAAAAGTTTTAGAAAAGATACATAAACTTCTGCCACACACATCTTTTAAAGCGGTGTTTTATAAATGTAAGTATTTAAATGTTATTATTTAATGTTAATTTACACCTGCATTAGAGAAACAAGATTCTATGGGAATATCCTGCCTGATTCATCATTAACCATCTGGAACTGTAGCATCTCTCATTGCATTCAAATTATTACTTCAAAAATATACATGTTTTTTTCCCCTTCAGCATAAAAGTTAGCTACAGTTCAAAATAGAAGATATTTTTAGTCTAATTGTAGAATATGTTTGGTCTCGTTTTTAAGATGCCTGATTTGTAAAATGAGCGAGACAAATCTCTTGATAACTCTGAAGACTACATGCTGTTCGAATTAAGGATTCATTTAGAGGAACCATTTAAAATCAGGATTTTAAGGAATCTCTAATGTTATGCTCCATATAAATATATTATCAGAATGGTGTATTCCCAAAGATCACTTGTTGGCACATTGTGTCTCCCTTGACTGCTCGTACATTGCCTTTTCTTTTCATCTCTTCAGCTCCTCAACAAAGTTCACATGTTCTTTTATTATTGTTCTTCCTTTTCTCTTCCTCAGCTCACAGAGAGCATCATGCTTTTGAAGGCCGCCAGGGAAAACATTAAGTTCCAACCTTATTTGTTGTTGTTTGCTGTTTTGAGGTGGTCGGGACAAGGAGGAGGATGGTGGAAGCCCTGCAGAAGCACTACACACAGTGGCCCTTTTGAGTTTCTGGCATTTCAAACTGGGAAAAAGAGGAAAACCAGTTGCCTTGGGTACTAAACACACAACTAATTACTTTGTGTTTGGTTGTTTTTTTTTTTTAATTCTTCGGCAACTAATTACTTTGTATTTGGTTGGTTTTTTTTTTAATTCTTCACTGATTCTTTAAAAAGATATTTTGGCCACCTCGCTGATTCTTTAAAAAGATATTTTGGCCACCTTTAAAAAAAAAAATATCAGATGATAGTTGTTCCTATTTCATTGAGATAGCAGGCTTTCATTTCTTCTGTACTGTACTTAGTTAAATGCAAACGTGCACAAAGATGGAATGCTGCTTTTCCTAGATGTGCTGTACGTGGAGGAATACTGGCTTACAGAAATGTGTTTTCAATTTTCAATTTGAAACATTCCTATCGTGTTAAGATTTACTCATTGGTTGTGTCCCAAGAGAGAAAGAAGTTGCACTGCATTTGTTCTAATATTCAGTGTAATCTGGTCTTGCACTGACAACAGCACACGTCCCGTAAAAGTAAATAGGAAAGTGGTCACTAAATGTACAACCAAAGAGAACACATTGATATTGGGACTAAACCTGTGCGGGATGATGTTAATGAGTGTTTTAATTGCAGAGATTTCAGAAGAGCCCCTATTCAGATGTGAAGGAGAGATCTTTCAGTAGGAAACTGTGCAAACTCCACATCCCTCTTATTTAAGAGGGGATGGCGGGTTTTAAATGTTTTTTTATATTGTACACTTTCTTGGGATATTTTTCTGTAAATTCATGATAAAGTGTCATGAATATTTTCTAATGCATTAGACTAACTGGATCCATCCCTCATGCTTTGGTGAGTGCTTGAGGCCAACATCGGCCCCAGAAAGGTCAGTAAAAGACCTGCCGTTGACTTCAGTGCAAAGGAAGAGATCCCATGGTATGTAGTTTCAAGCCATCGTGGCTTCCTAAGTGACCTTTTAAAGAAAAAAAAAAATAATACAGAAAACAAATGGATTTTGTGTTGCAGCATGAATATGAATACAAAATGTGTTAATCTTTAATTATTTATCTGTAGTAATTATTTGAGGTGTTGTTTTGTTTTGTTATACTACCAAAGATTGCTGTAAGTGCCTTTTACGATAGTAATTATTTGAGGTGTTGTTTTGTTATGCTACCAAAGATTGCTGTAAGTGCCTTTTACGAGAAGAAGGTGCAAGGTGGAGATGAACGTACGCTCCGCTGAGCATTACTTCATCCTTAAGAGGTTTTTGTTTGGCAACTGTTCAAGTTGCACTGATTTCCACATCTTTAGTACATTAAGAGGCAGACATTAAAATAAAATAAATTTAAAAATAAGAATCGCACATTTGTGACCTGTTTTTTTTACAACTTCATCTGTATTTATGAATTAAAACTGCAGTTAATGAGCATTATTAATTAAACAAATTTTCTAAAATCCAAATGTCTTGCTTCTGTAATTGCTTTCTGAGATTAAATGTTACCAGACTTGCTTTTTTTTAAACCTGTGTATTTTTTAAAACTTATTTTCTCAGAAGCTATCTATGTTTTGTTCATCGATTAAAAATATTTTAAAGTGTCTTTTTCTGTTGTTGTTAAATCAGAAAGAAGACCTAAAATTTATTAGTAGTGTCTCTTGTATGTATTCAGTTAATATTCAAGGTATGTTTGAGTTGCAGTTAAATTGAGGTTTCAAAGTAAAAAGCAGAGACTATTAGCAGTGTAATTATATGATGTTACTCAATTCACTCTATCGCAGTGACAATGGATAAATATCCCAGCTATCCTTACGTAGCATAATTTTTTTCCATCGTGACTTTCCAAGATGCATCTAATGCTGCAAGGATTTCTTTTTACAATATTACTGCCTTTGAGTTACCTCCAAATTGACTGAGATCTGTTTAAAAAATAATTAAAAAATACTGTCTTTAACTACAAACAGGGTCGAATCACAAAATGAGATGGGGTTGGAAGGGACCTCTGGAGATCACTTAGTCCAACCCCCCTGCCAGAGCAGGGTCACCCAGAGCAGGATGGACGAGATCACATCCAGGTGGGTTTTGAATGTCTCCAGAGAAGAAGACTCCACAACCTCCCTGGGCAGCCTGTTCCAGGGCTCTGCCACCTTCACAGGAAAGTTCTTCCCTATGTTGAAACTCAGCATAGTTTCTTTTGTGGGTACATCATCACCCTTCGACTCCCATGTGGAGATACCCAACCTCCTCCAGAAATAAGGGGATGAAGGAAGGGGCTTTCCCTGGAAGGTGAAATGAGCTCGTTGTTTGTCCCGCACTTTCATCTGCAACGAGTAGGGGTCTCCCTTTTTCCAGGAAAGGGGTAGAGGGAGCCCTCAGGACAAGTCTATAAAATTTGGGATATTTTTCTATATGGCTTAAATCTGATGATAATTGTTATCCATCAACCCATATTCTAAGTAATAATATCTTCTGACTAAAATTCAGCATATCATATGCCGCAATCCAAAATTGGACTTGAGTCAAAATGGGGAATGCAAGTTTGCAGGAACATGACAAATTGCATATTAGAATTTTGCAACCATTAAAGACTTTGTAGAATTTTTTGAACTGTCCTTTCATCCCTACTGATCTCCACAGCACAGATGTATTTATGCCAGATTATGTTGAACAGTTAATTTTTTTTTAAGTCTTTTAAATATTTATTATTTTCACCTGGAGATCTGCTTTATTGAACCTGATTAAACAAACCCCCCACTACTTCAAAAATCATCTAAATTGTTTAAATGGATATCAAAGAAGAGCCTACAACTTCCTGTCGAAATGAATTTCTATCGACATTTCAACATAAAATTAAAACATTTACCTTCCATGGTGACAGACAACAAAGAAACTCCAGATTGCTGCATTAGCTAAATTAAAGAAATCTGCTTCCCTCTTGGGGTGGTAACGAGCACTGGCTGATACCTGCTTGTGCTGGGACTTTATCTGGTGTCTGCTGGTGTGGACTGAAGCCTTTCACGTGGCTGGGGCACTTGTCTCCTTTAGCCAGGCTGGTTTTAAGAATTTTGTAGGAACTTCATATCTTTGATACACCCGTCCTGCCACCCAGGTCTGCTGGGTGTGGAGTTACTGCCGTGTGGGGATGCTCCTCTGTCCTGGGAAGCCAGGTGAGATGTGACATAGCGGGGAGATCTCTGCTTGGCTTTAGGAATGTCTGTAGCACCTTCTAAAAGGTGATTACAGCATCTTCCTGGGAAAAGCTTTGATGCTGTGTGGTGTTTGTTAAGTGGAAGAACAGTTGCTGGCCACGAGCACGGACTGTGTGGATGGAGGGAGGGAGGAAGGGATGGATGGATGAGTGTAGCACAGGGATGCAGCAGGAGCACCAGCCCTAAGTGGAAGAACAGTTGCTGGCCATGGCCATGAGCACGGACTGTGTGGATGGAGGGATGGATGGATGGATGAGTGCAGCACAGGGATGCAGCAGGAGCACCAGCCCTAGGGGAAGAGGGGCTGCTGGCTGGGCTGTGGCTGCTGCCACCAGGGCAAACGGAGCCAGGAGGGACAGCTGAGAAATGGTAAGAGGGATTAATAGCTTTTTATTTCTGAGTATGTCACTTCTTGTGCTGGTTCACACCTCCCCGGGGCTGCAGACAGCTGCTGGCAGCAGGGGCTGAGCTCTGATCCTTCCCCCAGCTTCAGGGGCATCTCTAATAGCTCTCTGTGGCTCCCCAGGCTGCGACACAACTGCTGCTGGAGGGATTAGTTGGGAATTTCACTTAACAGGGATGAAGGGCTGTCTTCTGGGGCTGGCTAATTAACAGGATTCCACTCTGGTAATTAAATAGCAGTTTGTCGAACACAACTTAGTTGATGAAATCTTTGGAAAACATAACAATTAGCAGGCAAGGAATGGCAACTTTGCCTCAAAAACCTATCCCCAACCAGTTGCTGGTATGATTTTAACCTTTCCTTCTCCAGGGAAGATGGCATTAACTCTTAATTTATTTGGTTTTGCTGCTGTCATTGGGCAGCTGGCTCACTCTCTGCTGTTGCAGCAGGCGGTTCTTCTAGGGGTTCTTCAGCTGTGGGGGCTTGAGATGTCCCACTTCACCTCTTGTGTTTTTGGAAGATTTTTGGTGTATGGCTTGTTTGCACCATGGAGATGTTTGTGGGGTTTTGTTTTGGAGACAAGTGTTGAAAAAGAGCACGGGGGGAGTAGGAGCAGGTAGCGGAGAAGGTGATTCTTACATTGTGTGATGTGCCTTAGCAAAGCTGCTTCAAAGTGCGTTTGTTTTTCATGCTATGGGCTTTGCTCAGGCTTCTGTGTACTTTTATTGTAGTGTGGCAGGTTCAGGACAGGGTGGCACACTCTCCTCGGTAATAATTAACTAACTTAATACTTCAGAGCCAGGAACACAAAAGCTCTGTGGGTCAGAAGGGGCTCAGCCAATGCCCTGCCTTTGCCAGCTGATGGGACTATAAAAGAAGTCACTTTTTATATTCTTCCTATGGCAGGATTGACCAGAGGGGCTGAAGCTTAAGAGTTGTCTTAAAACACAAACCTGAGAGAGGAAAATTACTGGCCCAAGCAGTTGATATAAACCCTCTTGTCAGCACCCGCACGCAGACAGGAGGTGCTTTCAGCTGGAAACCGCTCATGTCTTCATCGCTCTCCGTCTCCCTCTCCTGTAATGATTCTCTCAGGACAGCCACGAGGAGGAAATTAGATTAGACAAACAGTGGGAGATCCCACATTTTGCTATAAAAGCCACCTCCAATCTTCGCTAGACTTTGACAGCTCTCAATTTCCTAATTTGACAAGTTAATGAAGACTGGATGATTCCTGAAGCCATACGTACCGTGCTGCCGGGGAGGGGAGCTCCGCTCCGCACCGGGGCCACCCACCCCAGCACCTTCCTCCCTCCCAGCCTGAAAAAGTCCTCCTCTCCGGGAGGGAGGCAGCGTGTGCCAGAGCCCGGGGTCAGGAGACAAGTGGATTTTCCTGGGGTGTGTGGTGTCACCTCCGGGAAGCCGTGCTGCAGCGTTTGGCTTGGCTGGCAGGGATGTTGTTTCCTTCCACTCTCCCCGGGGCTGTGTGGAGCCAGAGGAATGGGCTGGCCAAGCCAGCCAAGCTAAATACAGCAGGAGACATCCCACTCACACCTCCCGGGAGTGAGGTGTGGGTTTGTGGCTCGTTTTATATGAAGAGGATGCTGCAAGAGGCAGGGGAGGAGCAGCGGTGGCCATGATCCCCACAGACCTCCAGCTGTGGGAAGGAAGGAAGGACGGACAGAGGGGTGATCTGGGGGACAAGGGATGTGAGCAGCTGGAAATGGTGAAAAAGGAGCAAAAAGGGTGGAGGTGAGGGCAACGGGGATGCTCACATCTCCTTTTGTGGTGTTGGCTTAGCTCCAGAGGGTGAAGCATCACCCTCGTTGCCTCCAAAAACAGAGAGAGGGGGCTGCCCCGGGCTCCTCTGGGTGGGTGTCCCCATGGGAGACACTCTGAGAGAGCCAACCTGAAACCCCCTGCACACAGCGGAGTGAGGAGGGGGGAGATGAGACACCAAGCCAGAAGAGTAGGGCAGCTGCTGCTGCAGGAGGTAGGGAGTGACTCGGGTGGGCATCCCTGCATCCAGCCCCATGCTCTGCTCCCAGACGTGGGGCAGGAGAAGGGGCTTTAAATGGGGTAAGAAACCACCAGCTGTTGGGAAGAGTGTCAGGGGGTAGTGCAGCAGTGCCACAACCAGGGGTCCTGGGTTGTCTTTGCACAGCGGGGAAGGCAGGAGGGGAGTTTTCAGGCCTTACTGGTCCCTCTCCAAAGTGCCCCCACTGTGCTCTGTCTCCTGCAGAAACCAGGGGAGGAGGGTTTCCGTCAGCGCGGTGAGGCTCCATAAATAAGCAAATCGGAGCAGGCTGGAAGCAAAGAGTAAAGTAGGTATCATCCATCATGCAAGAGGGCCTGTTCCAGCTCGTGATGCGTAA